ATTTTAGCAAGTCCATAAATACACATTTAGGGCTGAAACCTGCAAATACTTAAGCATCTGAGCAACTTTACTCACATCAGTAGTCTCGTTGACTACAATGAGAATGCTGCCGTGTGTAAACTTTGGAAACATAGGTCTGTGCAGTTTTAAACCCTTACTCAGCAGCCTTTGAAAGAGAATGAATTTATTTTATAGTGTTGGCATGAAAAAGTACCAGCAAAGGAAATTAACTCAAAAATTAAAGTCATGTTAAGTGACAATACCCAACAAATAAAAAGACTATTCAACTTTAAGGCTGATACTCATATTTTTCTGATCAATGATGGCATACTTAATGCGGGGCTACCCCTTGAATACCTGATATTAACTAGGACTGCTGAAATGTTTGGAGACAATAAGACATATTGAGGCTACAGGGTGAAATCCTTTTGCTACTGAAGTCAATGAGAGTTTTGCCATTGATTTCAATGTGGTCAGGATTTCACATGGATTGTCAATTGTCTTTAATTCTCCTACCTCTTCTCAGTTTGGACCACATGTATAGCTGTGCTTGCAAAGAGGCATTAAGGCTTGGTCCAAAGTCACTGATATCAATGGGAAGACTTCAGTGGGTTTGGATTGAGCCATTTGTGCATAAAAATAAAGTCACTGAGTTTCACACCAGAAGGGACCACCAGATTTTGTAGTCTGACCTGCTCTATGTCACATGCAGACAACACACCTAACTACGGCACACTAACCCCAACAACTGAAATGAGGCCAAAGTATTATAGCCTGCAGGAGATTAGACTATTACGTCCCACAGGGAGAGAGTAGGAGGGATTGAGATGCATCAGTGCTCAAGGCACCTACAATGGCAGGGAATTAGTTAAGTGAGATGTATCCAGATAGTCCTGGTAACTGACCTGCACCCACACACTTCACAGAAATGCCAAAAACCCCAAGTTCATTGCCAGTCTGACAGGGGGGCAATTCCTTCCTGACCCTGAGCATGTGAGCAAGAACCAGCCAGTCAAACATGAGAGAGAGATTCCACTGTGCCACCTCAGAGCCCTGGCCTACTCTGTCCAGTGTCCCATCTTCAGCTATGACCATCCCTGATACTTAAGAGGAAGGAGAACAAAAGACTCCACAGAATACACTGGGGGAGGGAGGAGTACCTTCCTGACCCCTGCAGATGATTGGCTGAAGCCCTAAAGTGTGAGCTTTTAGGAATATAAGACATAAACCAGAAGTGAGCCCAGGGCTGCTGAGCTCTACCCTCACAAGCAACCCTATCAGACAATCACACTCATAAATTTGCCCATCTCTCTCTTAAAACTAATTATATGGGTTGCCCCCACAACTCCTATTGTGAGGTCCTTCCAGTGCCTTACCCCTCTTATGGTTAGAATCCTTCTTCTAATTTCCAGCCTGAATTTGTTCACAGCCAGTTTATGCCCATTTGTTTTTGTGCTAATATTGTTCTTTAGCTTAACTAACTCTTCACCCTCCCTGGTATTTACCCCTTAACTTGCCTCCTAGAGAGCAATCATATCCCCTCACAGCCTTCTTTTTGCTAGACTAAACAAGTCCTTTCAGTCTTCTTTCATAAAAAAGGCTCTTTATTCTCCTGATCACCCTAGTAGCTCTTCCCTGCACCTCTTCCAGTTTGAATTCATCCTTCTTGAACATGGATGAACAGAATTGTATGCAGTATTCCAAATGAGATCTTATCAATGCCTCATACAATAGCATTTATGTGTCTCTATCACTACTGAAAATGCCTCACCTGATACATCCTTTTCCACAGCCACATCATATTGGTGACCCATAATCATCCTTGACTACACACCCTGGTCTCTCTTCTACTATGAGGCTTCCACCTTGTAGCAGAAACTCTTATTATTAGATCTTAAGTGCATGGTCTTGCACTTCTGTACTACTGAATTTCACCCATTTCTGCCACTCCAGTCTTCAAGGTCATCCAGACGTTCTTGTAAAATATTCTGATCTTCCTCAGTATTGACAATGCTTTCCAACATTGTATCCTCAGCAAATTTCATTAGCACACTCCAAGGTCATTAATAATAATATTGAGCAAGACTGGTCCCAAGATCAATCCCTGAGGAACTCCACTAGTAAACACCTGCTAGTCTGATAGGCCACCCTTAAGCACAACCCATCACCTTGTCCCATTTAGCTAGTTCCTTATCTACCTTACAAATCTTGTGCTAATTTCCATCTTCCCTCATTTAACTAAAAAAAAAATGCTATGTTGTACTATGTCAAATGCTTTACTGAAGTCCAAGTACATTAGATCTACTGCATTTCCCTTATCTAAAAAATCAGTTATTTTCTCAAAGAAGGAAATCAGGTTATTCTGGCATGATCTACCTTTGGTAAACCCATGTTGCATTATATCCCCATTTTCTTTCATTAATTCAATTATTCTTTTATTCATAGTTTGTTTTAAAGCCTTGCATAGTACTGAAGTCAGATTAGCAGGTCTGTAATTGCCCAAATCCCCCCCTCTCTCAAATATAGGTATGGCATTAATTATGCACCAGCTATATGATATTATTCCCAAATAGACAGATCGATTTATTAAAAATCATTGCTACCAGACTATCAATCTCATGTGCCATTTCTTTCAGTATTGTGGGATGGAAATTATTTGGTCCTCCTGATTTGAGTGCATTAAGCTCTTTAAGTTTTCATTCCAGCTCAGGTGTGATAATTTTCATTTCTATACACTTATTTCCATCAGCCATTACACCTTCATAGTCATGTTCTATATTATACTTTTGCAAATCAAATCAAAGTATTCATTTAGTTTTGGGGCCATATCTAGACGATTTTTATCTTTAATCTCCTTCCCATCCACACTGCACAGTGGTCCAACCTCATCCTTCCTTATTCTCCTTCTATTTATATAAGTAAAAGAAATCTTCTTCTTATTTATTTTAATTTCCATGGCAAGAGCTAATTCAGTTTGAGATTTAGCAATTCTCATGTTATTCCTACATTTTCTAAAATGCAGGACTCCGTTGCACTTAAAATTAACAGATTTGCGTGTGCAAATACTATTCTGCACACCTAGGTGCAAGACTGTATATCCAAAAAAGAGTGCATATGTTTCTGGAGATGCATGTACCTCTTAAGCTTACCATTACCAATGGGTCCGTGTATGTCACATCATCAGAACTTGAATTTAACACAAAAACTTAGGCTATGTCTTCACTACGGGGGTGGGGGGGGGGGAGCGGGGTTTGATTTAAGATACGAATAGCGTAGCTGAATTCAACGTATCTGAGCCGACTTACCCCGCTGTGAGGACGGCGGCAAATCGACTTCCTTGGCTTTTCTGTTGACGGCGCTTACTCCTACCTGCGCTGGTGGAGTACAAGCATCAATTCGGGGATCGATTGTTGCGTCCCGACGAGACGCAATTCCCCGAGAGATCTATTTCTACCCGCTGATTCAGGCGGATAGTGAAGATGTAGCCTTAAACATAGGGGCTGGCTTTTGTTCTTTCCTGAGTTACAGAAATTGTGTTTGGAGCCTTTTTTGTTACAGGATGCAAGATGTAGTCATTCCCTTCTCTCTTGTTTTGTGGAGCAAATTATTCTCCTCAATGGAAGCCAGACAACTCCTTTCCTATTTAAATTTTATGTGAAACATTCTTTATTTCAGTCACTCAATGGGTTTGCCTTGGGCAATTGAATCACAGCTGACAGTAAATTAATGACTATGATGGTGTGATTAGTAGAGATTACAGGCTACTGAGAACCTGCCTGAGCATTTACCACTGTCATAATACTTATGCCGGCTACTATTAGGGATTAATAATGGTCATAAAGAGGACATGATTCCACTGAACTAGACTCTATATAAATGTAAAATCTGTCTGCATTTTTAATGTTTCACTAATATTCTGATAAAATGGGAAAAAACTTTTTTATTAACAAGTTAAGATTTTTAAAATATATTCTCTTTCTGACTGTCTATTTTGCCATTTAAAAAAATATTATCAGACAAATAGTCTCTCTGATAGACATAAGCCAGATCTGCTTCAAACAAACACACACACTCAGTAAAGAAGTTAAAATTACATTAGCCATGTGGAATCGAAATAGAACATAAGCCCCAAGACTTTCCCGCTATTAGATATCATACCAAAGTCCAATTGGGAAGAAATAATGATTTCACTAATCCCTAACAATGAGTTTTTGAAGAGTTCAAATAAATGTTTGTTTGTTCTGAGTTAGCTTCACCAAGTAGATTTATTTGATTTTCCATGTTCCTAGGGGAAGACCTTCAGTTTCCCCAGGTTGTAAGCAGAAAAGAACATAAAAAAAGAAGATAAAAGTGAACAATGTGCCTATTTACTAAAGCTTTCCCAATCCATTTTATTTCCAAATGTCAAGCAGTTATCTGAAACCTTTAAAAGGTTTCTTTATGTACTATTAAGGGAGAGCAAATATTTGGAAGAAAGAATATTGTCCATACTTTCATGAAAGCTAATTAATAACTTATATACGTGTTATTTAAAATACTGTACAGTGTTTAGCTGAGCAAAGGCTAAACGTGGTCTAATAATAAAAAACACCATGTGCTGTGTATTCTTGCTCTCAATCCTTAAGGTGGTAGAAAAATGGCCAATTATTTCTGAAAACGAGAAGAAAAAGCAATGAAGCTTCTAGTTAGTTTTTTAATTTCTGAAAGTCTTTCTTCAAAGTTTCAAAACTGCAAAAAGCAGAGCAACTGAACTACAGTTTCCATCACACAACTATGGTATGTGTATAATAAGCCTTCTAAACTCAGACATACGTGGCAAAATTCTAGTTCCATTTATACCCATGTACAGGTGTGACTGAGGGAGAGAATTTGCTCCGGTAATTATTTTTTTTTAAAAAGAGCATTCCTGCTATTGTTCTTCACAGGACTTGGATATCAGCTCCATAAATACAGTACCTGTAATTGTAAAAAGACAAGCTGCAGCATGCTAATGCTCTTACCTCATACTCAAAGTCCTCTGTTCTATCTGCATCAGCAGGCAGGCTGGAAAGATACTCATTACCTTCATAAAATTCATGCTCCACTGGGTGAAGAGAATGGCAGCTATGTGGGACAAAGCAGTACAACAGGAATAGATGAGACAATAGTTTTTCAAATTAAAAAAGGATAAAAAAACCTTCTCTGTAGTTTTCTCATCTTTGGAATGCTATTCTGAGTGATCTGACAGTCTGAAAGGAATACAACCAGGCAAGAGCTGGGGCTTTTCTCTTTTCAAATGCACAGAGACCAGTTAATTTCATTTTGCCAAGTACAGCACTAAAGGCAAAATTCTACTGTCAGATCCACACATGGTTATTTTTGAAGAGGAACGAAGCAGGGTCTGTTTTGAGCCAAACTGCTTAGCTGATAAGCTCCAGGATTTTTCCATACTCTTAAATGTACTTAACTCCAGATATGTGTGCCATCTCTACGTGCATCCAAATATACACTTCAGATACTAGAGCAACACGAAGGAGCCTTTCTTAGCACAACATTGTACTAATCACATTTCTACCACATTAAATCCCTTAAATGATCACAAATTATTTCAGACCTTAAAGGAGTGACTTGCACTCTACAGCCTTCTCCAACATGGTCACAACAGGCTACCAAGGTGTGTTTGAGAAATTATACTCTTGAAAATGTCAGCACACAGGATAGGTTTTGGACAAAAAGAATGAGGTCTTCCTGAAATAAAATGAACGTATGTGTAGCCTCAGATACAAAGACAGCTATTACCTGAATCCTGATCATAAATTACCCTAGTGGGATCTGCTGACGATCCACCCAGAACTTTGTGACTATGTATTTGTGACAAGGTGAAATGTGGTATACATTTTGCAACGCCACTCCTGTGCAAAGACCCATGGAACATTGGGAGTTCAATGGGAAATCTCTAATATGATTGTGGTTTTGCCTGTAGCTACTGGATGAAGTAGAGGGGAAGTGTTGACAGACAGGTGGAATAACTCATAAGGCGAGGTCCAGAAGGATGGATCACTATTTTTGCATAAATATGCTACGTTAATATTTAAATTCTGTACAATTTCAGAGGAAATATTCATTTAATCAATCAATAACTCATTACACACTGTCATTCAAGATGTGGGATTTTATGTTTAATTTCTTTATCTATTCAGTAATGTTTTGCTTTAGATAACCACCTTAATTTAATGAGTTTCCTTGATTCTCCTTTTGTGTAAGGGAGAAATGTACACAATGCCAACAAGCCAGCTCTCTCTGGGTCTTAATAAGCCTTTTGGCAGCTTTGGCTATAGTAGCTATCTACCTGACTGAGGCTCACTGTTGGCATAAAGCTTTTGATGAAGAAATAGCGTGAAGATGAAGTGATCAGAGCCAGGATTCCTTATTGCAGCTCTAATCCACAAATTAAGTTCAGGAGGTGATGCAGTGAAACAAGTGAGGGACTGTGGCTATCAGTGACAGCTATACAGTAATGAGATGACAGTATTCCTGAGATGTTTTCTAGACAGAGCTGTGAGGCTATCACTACACTTAGTAATTTGTTAACACTTAGTTTCTTGAAAACGAATATTTAATATTATAAGTTACCAATGAGTGCTATCACACAGATGCAATTCATAAAGTCACGTGTGTAAAAAGAGCTGAATATGGGTGAGAACTTAAAAATTGTATGGTGACAGGCCGCAAATCCCAGTGATGATTCTAAAACAAGAGAGCTCTCAATCATGCCTGTAGCTGTTACCATTGCTTCACACTGACTGTACAGACATTCTTATCTTCAGAGTGACAGAGAGAGAGAGAGAGAGACAATCCCGGAATCTTATTATATAGATAGTATATGAGGTTGGGTGGAAAAGTGACAGAGAAAGGTAAACCATACCTGTCTGAAAGCAGAAAGGGACAGATATCTGGTACTGGAGGTGTGGATGGCCTAAGCTTGGCCAGAGCCATAATATGCTCAAAGGTGATGTCGGTCTGAGTGCTAGCATCCACAAGCTGAACATCCTGTGAGCTACCATGTGTTTTATTAACGGGTGCTCGCCGTAAAACCTGAACTACAATTGGCTCCTTGGCATTCCGAAAAGCTTCCACTGCCTCTTCGTGAGTGGCCTTGGAGAGGTCCTTCCCATTGACCTAAAGGAAAACAGAACATTACACAAATTAGGACTGAAAGGGCTTATAGAAACAGGAGTATAAAACACATATTATAAGTGATTTGTACAGTATATTAAATCATATGCTGCTATCTACTGCAATCTTCTATAGTGCTCATGTAAGAGAGAAGATAAGGGTTGGATGGGAAAATAACTTGTTTGGCTTTTGCTAGAAAACAAACTGATAAAACTCTTACAACACAGTCCTGGTGGATTCTGAAAGAAGCAAAAATTAAGTAATACATTTTTAAAACTCTAAGGACATTTACAATTCCATCTCATAAATTATTTGTCTGGTTTGTAAAATATATATAAAAAGTGGGGTTTTATTTTGTTTGTTTATTTTGTTTGTTATTGTCCCTTTACATGTATTGAAATCCAAGTCAAATCCAAAGTAAAGAATTTAAGAAGATAAGAAAAAAGAAGTTGGAAGTGCTGTAGTTGTGTCACTGTAGTGTAGATGTTTCTTACAACAATGATAGGGATTTTTCCATTGAGGTTGGTTATCCACCTATGTGAGAGGTGGTAGCTAGGTCAACGGAAGATTTTTGTTGACCTATCTGCTTCTACAGTAGGGGGTATGGTCAACCTAACTACTTTGCACATGGCATAGAATTTTTTGCAACCCTGAGAGATGTAGCTAGTTTGACCTAAGTTTTAGATGTCGACCAGGCCGAGGACAATTGTTTGACAGGCTGTGGGGCTGAGGATGAGTGTTATATTGGTCTACATTTGAAAGTTTTGCTATGTTGATTAGGAATATGAAAAAACCCCACAAACCTATCCAACAGCTATTACTGGCAATAAATCCTTTTGTTAGGATAGCTTATATCAGCTCCACAATGAAATAAGCTGTGTCTCCATTAGAAGGGTTTGCCAGTATACCTCTGCTGGTATATCTATATACCAACAGTTTCTTTATGTTTTTACTATACTGGAACAAAGTGAAGCTTTTCCGGTGTAGCTGCACAGACACTAGGGGTGCTTTCCCAGCATAGTACAATATAGTATATCAGTATTCCTATACCAGTGCTCCCCTAGTGTAGTGTTCGGAGTATAACATGGATAATTGCAAGTATGGGTGGTGTGTTAAATTCCTACATGTTCGTGTGCCTGTATTTTCAAAGTACAAGCACATCACTGAACTAACATGCTAATTGGGCAATGGCTGTCAATAGCAGAGTTCTTGACCAAGAACATGTGCTATCACTGCACTGAAAACATTACTTTGGTGAGATTCAGAGGTGACGGGAATGTTGCTGTAAATTACAAATAATGAAACTGCCATAAGCCATTGCAGATGTGAGATGATATAACTTATCCTGTGAATGGGCAGAAGGGGTGATTTTTTGTAGGAAGAAATGCAACCCACAAAGGGTTTAATCCCAGGTGCCGGCTTTATTTTACACCCTTCCGATACAAATCTTCACTTCTCTCTCTACAGAATATACGATTTATCACCTCACACTATTTATACCATCCTTACATCACATCTGAATTTGGTCCAGGGAACACGTTGCATATATTTTGACATGAGGCCTTGTCTACACTACAAAATAATGTTGTTATACTTTATGTTACTCGGCGGTGTGAAAAATCTGTTAAATTTACCTAAACCCCAGTGTAGATGGTGCTAAGTCAACTAGAGAATTCTCCCATCAACCTAGCTACTGCCTCTCAGGGAGGTGGAGGCTCTGTGCCCAGATCAGAACCCTTCCTGCTGGCATGGGTAGAGTCTTCACTGAAACGCTACAGTGGTGCAGCTGTGCTGCTGCTGCACCGTTTTAAGTGTAGACAAGCCCTAACATTATAGGAAGAGCAACACCTATTATTTTAAGTTTGCCTAACATTTTCCATTATAACCATCTGCTTTTAATTGCTACTACCACTGACAAATGAACTATTTGGGTTGAATTTTTCCATGCTTGGTTTCTGCCTCAGGTTGATTTTTTGTTGTTGAAGTTTTACAAAATCAGTGCAATGAAAAACAGAAAATGTTGTCCATGTAAAAACTCTGCCAGCACCACAGGAGCTTACCCGGAGGCAGTTGAAATCTGACAGTAGGATAGTCCTGAGGTCAAAGAAGCATCTTTTCTGTTTCCATGAAAATCCATCCAGATTTATTTGAGTTTCTAGGAAATCACCATTTGCACATGCACAAAATAACTTCTTACGCCCTTACTCATTATGTCTGAAAGTCCGAACTCTTGCTATGCTGCAGAGAGCATGCTCACTGTCTCCTGCATAATTTCCTAACGACTACAAAGAATCAGGGCCGGCTCTAGGATTTTTGCCACCCCAAGCAAAAACAATTTTGGCCGCCCCTCCCCGTTTTTTTCTTACCCCACCCCCGGCCCTGCCTCAACTCTGCCCCTTCCCCAAATCCCCAGCCCTGCCTCCTCCCCCCAGGCTCTCAAGCCTAGGAGGGAGGGAGGGAGAGGGAGAAGCAGCGCGTGCGCCGCGGCCACTCGGGGTCTCCCCCTCCCTCCCAGGCTCTCAAACCCGGGAGGGAGGGGGAGATCCCCAGCGGCCGCGGCGCGCGAATCATCTGGGAGGGAGGGAGGGCGAGCAGCGGTGTGCGAGCGGCAGCAGCGGAGGTGAGTTAGGGCGGCCGGGGCACATTTTTAGGGGCAGCATGGCCCGCGCCAGAATGCCGCCCCTAAAAATGTGCCGCCCCAAGTACCAGCTTGTTTTGCTGGTGCCTAGAGCCGGCCCTGCAAAGAATCACAGCCCAGGCAAATGGATCCTCCTCCAGCTTTTCCACAATAAAATAGTTTATAACCTAGGAAAGGAAAGAGCACTCACCTATACTACCTTTCTGAAACATAATACCAAACCTAAGTGCTTGGCTCTCTTATCTGTAAAATGCAATATTTCAGCATGCCACCTTTAAAAAGTGCTTTGAGATCTATAGATGAACGAATACTATGCAAATACAAAGCAGATTAAGAAAACAAATAGCACCTCGAAGTCCTAACTGTAATTTTTCTCACTATTCCATTTGCCCCCACAACCTTCCCAGAACCAGAAGAGAACACAGGAATCCTAAACCACTGATGTTTAGCAATTATTTGCTAAAGATGGAATTGCTTTGTTTTTCCATGTTTCTTTCTTTTTTCCCCAATACCTTGATATTTCCAGACCAATTAACTGATCAACCAACCCAAACCCCCCTTGATAAAAAAACATTAGGTTGAAAAGTTGGAAAATGCCAGATTTAAGGGAGCTTGTGTTACCTTAATTCTGCCCCTTTTCATACATGTATTATGATAGTTTTTAATTACATGAACACTACAGCAGTTCAGAACATCCCTAGACATGTTCTCGGTGGTGGGTGGGGATCATACAGAGCCCAGGTGCAACGTAAAAATGTCCTTCCTGCGGCAGAACCTCATGAAGAAAGTTGTGGTTTGAATCCTGCCTACCCTTACATGGATGTGTGAGGGATTCATGGTATGATGTAGCGACTACTCCGCAATGGCAAGAGCACATCGCTCCTACAGTTAGCTCAGTATACATACCTAGATATATCTATTTAAATCTAAGAGACCAGATTTAACATCCTCAGTTCCATAGACGTTCCTCAGTACTAATGTGGGGTAGGTTAGTATCAAATGATACAAAGAGTGACCAGAAAAGAAGTGTATTCTGCTCTAGACAGGTGGCCTACATTGCTGCATAACAGGAGTTTCCCTGACAATTTATGCAAGAAATGATTAAAAATTGTCTCTATCCTTAAAATTGCCATTTGGCCAAATTGTATCATTGGGGATAATTATATACAATGGAATTCTGTGAGTGCCATATGGGGGGTGGAGAGGGAGGGATCGATAAAAGTGTAAAAATAGATTCAATTGTAAGAAGGAGAATGTTCCCCCTATTTCTCCTCCAAGTGTGTAAGTTACAAAAACTAAAATGTCCAGTATCAGTTATATCTAACAAAGGCGGCTTTAAATAACACTTTAAATCTGGATCTTTTAGCCATCATTCAGTTCTACCTCTCCAGTTCCTTCCTTCTTTCAAAGCCATAGAAATATGCTCCCTTCGGGGGATGTTCCCATTAGGGAAGTGGGAACTCCACAATTTTCACTCTAGCCCCTTGAACAACTTTTACCCCTACAGTCTGTAGGATCCCTTCAAAATGTACAGCTACAGTTTCCTCTCTCCCAACCCTCCTGTACTGACCAATTTTAATGTTTATAAAAAGTTTCAGGATAACAAATTTAGTGATCACCCTTAAAAGTCAACATTTGGCAACAAATACCATGTAGTTGTATCTGATACATCAGAATTGTTCCTATTGTAAGTACAAGAAGTATACTATAATTGCCACTATGTGGTACTTGTGGGCAAAGGTTGGGCTGACTTCTAAAAAGCAGGGGAAAAACATGGATAACAGTTCAAGAAGTAAAACATAAAATCTTATTAGAATTCCTTGGGAAACCAACCAACCAATGTCCTCATTTATCCACATAAATCAATACTTATTGATTATTCCAAACAAATATACTTTACATACATTTACAATAATGTCATTTCCATGCAAATTCTATGCCGAGGAACAATGATATTACAAAATCATGTAACTATGAAACTCATAGCTTATTTTTATTGGCAATAATGTGGCTGACCTGTACTTTCATAAAAATGTTTATTTTCTCCTTGAAGTGAAGAAATCCATGACCTTTAAAATCCTCTATGCTTTATGTGGTTTCCTTATAACATGTAAGCACTGAAGATACAGAACACTTATTTTAATCGTCACTTGAAGTTCATCAACACAGTTAGTTACTCTGCATAAAGGTCACTCATTTTATAAATTCTGCCTTGCCCTGCAGAAAAGCTGTAGCTTAATTGCTATATGCTGGCAGCTGTCCTGGGCAGTTACCATTATTATGTGTTGGGAAGAGAGAATGTATTTTAAAAACTAAACCCAATACTATATACCCATTTTGGAGGTCTCTTCACTTAGCTTCTTTA